GAATGAGCATCTTTCCTTAGTGCTCCCAGGCGCCTCTAATAATGTAGATTGTTAATGGAAAATGAACCCTTAGGGCCAAGCCAAACTCCAGCACGGCACTGAGGGCCTACCCAACTGCTTTTCAGACTTTTCCTCCTCACTCATTTTGGCATTCCTCGTGTGCCAGAGAACCGTGAACTGCCTGGACATTGGCTGCCGTCTGGCTCCCGTCACTCCTCTGTCCCCTGACCTGCGTCTCCCTCTGTCCTCCATCCTGGATGACTCACTCTGCACTGCATTTCTGGGGAAGGTTTCATTGACTGCCTGGAGGAATCATTGCTCACTCCCCTTTGCTCCTTGGCACTGTGGCCTCATCTTGAGAGCTTGGGAGTGGGTATTGGGGCGGCTATCCTTCTGCCTGTCCTTCCTCCTCAATAAGCAGCAGCTTTAGGGCTGAAACAAGACTATAATCTTTGCATCTCCAGGGCCTACCAGGCTGCCTGACCTAAGGACTTGCCCAGTGAATACTAAAAAGACATCAGATGGAATTAAAAGATTTATAATGACATTGATAGCTGGTTGACTATGGTGGGGAGTAAATATACAACCTGCTTTATCATAAATGAACGCCTTTCCTCATCTCTGTTCTGGAAATCAGGTGCAATGTGTGCTCTACAGACTCAATATTTGGTAGACTCACAGCAGAAACTGATGAAATACAAATCCTTACAGTTCTCCACTGTTTTAATCACTGTTTCAAGCACCATTTTTGGACCGCTTCGTGTCTGTGCTTACCAGGTCACTTGTGCAAGCCCATTGAGAGTAAATGGCGGGGGACTGGCAAGTTGTCATTGTCCTTAAAATATAAGGGGGACAGACCCAGCCTCAGCAGGTGGACAGGCTTTGAATTCTGCAGGTTGTCGCCCACTGCTGATCATGTCAGCACAATCACCTGCTGCTCCCCCGGAGCACTTCTGGGCCTCAGTGCCTAATAGATGAACAAAATGATCTTTGTCTTTCTCAAGGGTGTAGGCCTTGTCTTAGATCACTGAGCATTTGGAGAGGAGGGTCATCAAATTAATAATGCATAAGAAAAATGTTTCAACTAGGAATTCTGCATCTCTGGAGTTGTATTAAACCAATTAATACTTCCCAATCAATTACTCCCTAATTTGCTCAAGTAAATTAAAAGTGCTGTGGCTGTGTGCAATAAGATTTTTTTAAAAAACAATCTGTGCTGATGTGGGAGAGCTGCCTGTCACGGAAGGGCCAGGGCAGTGTGCAGTGGGGGTGAGGACTTTTGTCTCCAGGGCTCCTGGGTTCAAGCCACAGTCCCTCCGTATCCACCAGCCTGACTTTGGGCCAGTTCTTCATCCTTCAGGTACCTGTTTCTCAGCCCTGAGAGGCTACTGTGCAAACAATACCGATATCAAATACCCGGCACACAGTAAGTGCTCGTGGAATTATTTGTGTATATGGCTCATTTTATAAATCTAAAATGTGTATTTTGGAAATAAAAAAAGAGAAAAGAAGTAAAAGTGCTGACTGCCACCATCGCAGTTGTTCTGGGCAAGTTGTTATGATGTCCTCATCACGGTTTCATCTTAATAGTGGTGATTACTGAAACATAATTAGGATTTTTCACGCTCATTCAGATGTGTTCTCTAATTACAAGCATTAGTGTTTAACATGTGAGCAGCTAGGGAATGGATGTTTCTTGGCCTCGGTTCTGAAATGGATCCATTTGCCTCCCTGAGGGAGGCCTCAGGCAGGAGAGGGCTGCTGGTGGGAATGACCTTGGACAGGGTTCAGGGGGTGGGGGGACCGCACCTCCACTGCACTCTGCATTGTCCCCAGCAAATCCCATTCAGCAGGTGCCACTGCCCACCTGCACCTGCCAATGAGCCTCTAGGGAGGGGTTTCCACACCGCCAAGCAGTCACTGTCACATTTGCGATGCTCTACTGTTTGGCAAAATGGAGTTCCAGGTGAAGATGTGATTGCCCACGGGCCCTCAGCAGGAAAGAGCCTTTTTCTGGTCTGAGCCACGTTACAATCTGGGTCTGCCCCTGAGCATTCCCACCTGCCACCCCCAATGCATACCCACCTGCATCCCAGGTTGCCCAATTGGCTCTGTCAAGGTGAGCAGACCATGGCTCCATCCTCGCAGAGGCAGCTTCACCTGAGAGTTTAGACATGGCTACGGTCAGATGCAAGGGTCAAGCTGGAGCCAGACCAAGCATGCAGGAGCTAGACGGAGTGTACCAGCGTCAGACTGAGTGTGATGGAGCAGCAAGGAGCAGAGAACTTGGCTGCAGCTGGGCAATGACGCTGCCTAAACTAGGCTCTGAAGGGATCGAGGTTTCCCAGGCAGAGTGAGGGGGGATGAAGAAACAGATTGAAAAGCAGGGTCTTGCTAGGTGTGAAGAGAACAGCATGGCCAGAGATCAGGGCTTGAAAGGGAAGTGGAATGAGCAGGGGGAGTGGAGGGTGGATGGCAGAGGCTCCAGGACACCAGGCTAAGTCACCCAGATGTGATTTCTGCTGTGGTTCCGGGGAGGGGTCTGGGATGAGATCACCCTGGGTTCCAGTTCCCCATCCACCCCCATTAACGATCAGCCAAACAGGTCGTCTGAGTCCTGGTTCCCTCCTTTGAGTGAATGTCCGTAGCCAGTGACTGTATCCCCTGATGTTGGGAAGCCTCAGTGAGAAGGTCGGTGAAAGTGACAGGCAAAGTTCTTCGCTCAGAGGAAGCCCTGAAATGGAGTTAGCTCTTATCCTCATCATCACTGCCTGGCGCCGGAGGGTCCCACGCCTGCTGCTGGGTGACCTCTGAGCCTGTCCCTGTCTCTCTGCAGGTCTGCCATGGAGCCCTTGTGTCCACTCCTGCTGGCAGGTTTTAGCTTGCCGCTCACCAGGGCTCTCCAGGGCAACGAGACCGCTGCTGACAGCAACGAGACCACCACGACCTCAGGTAAGGACCCATCCCCCTCTCCCTTTCCCTGGCTGCCTCCCCCACTGCCTCCTGCTAAGCTTCTGGGACCATTCTGGGGGTGATAAAGGGCTTAAGGTAAGAGAAGAGTGGTGTGGCTGAATTTCTCAATGTGCTTTTAATATTTTGTGCCTCTAAAAACAGGCAGGCTAGATAAGCTAGTTTAGCATCTGGTGGTTCAGCAAAGCTTAGAGCTCTGGAGGCAACCCATCTACAACCCCTGCTGAGAGTCGGGGTCAGCCTTGGCTGGAGGCAGGAGAGCAAAAGGGTTAAAAATCCCCCCAAATCCCATTGTGCAGAAAACCAACCATGAACATACACGGACGAGGCGATGTGACAGTTATGTCACTGATGTGACAGTTAGTGATATTAACTAAAGAATTATTAATGTTTTAGGTCAGATATTGGCATCGTGATTAGCTTTATTGTTGAAGAGTCTTTGTTTTAGAGATGCCTGCTGACGTGTTCACGAGTGGACCGTGACGTCCAGGCATTATGCAGAAAAGAGCAAGTGGGAAGTGGGGGTGGGGGCTGTGAACAAAGTCAGATCAAGGGCCACACATGATTTTCTAACCCTGAACAAATGTCCTGTAAATGTACCATTGGCCCCAGGAGGAGGAAAGAGTGATGATTTCTGGCCACCAGAACCTCCAGCAAGGAGAGCAGTTCTAAATGCCCACCTGTGTTTTTCCTCTTCATGTTGAAACCTCAAAGAAATCCAAAACCCCAAAAACGACAGACCAGAAGCTGCCAACAAATATAAACCTGCCTCTTTGCAAGCCAGCCCTTCAGGGGCAGGTCACTGGTGGTTCAGTGAGTTATTTCAACCCATGATCCCAACTTTTCTTCCCATCGCTAATCAACTGGCCATTTAGAAACACCTGGCAAGCTGCCTGAATGGACCCTCATCACATGCAGGAGTCACAGTGGCAGACATCTGTTTGCACAAAAGTGGGGAAGAACCTGCCCGAGCTCTCAGACAATCCCTTGAGTGGCGGCAGCAGGATGACGTCCATACCACATCTGAGGCTTTTCAGTTTATTTGAAAACAAAATTATTGGCTCACATATTGCCACAGATGTGGGGTGTTACTTTCAGGAGGAAGACACTGTCGTGGGACCTCAGCACCCAGAGCAGAACTAAATGTGAAACTCACACCTCAGTTCAGCCTCCACTAGGGCCTCTGAGTGCTTAGCAAGGGCTACCAGTCCACGAACTAGATGGAAACAGCCCTTGGGTTATAATGCGCAGATGGGTTCCTTTGGCCTAGAATTCTGGAGGGGAACTTGACCCTGTGAAGCGCCCTTTAAATCTTCATTTGATCAGCCGGGTGCAGTGGCTCATGCCTGTAATCCCAGCACTCCGGGAGGCTAAGGCAGGTAGATCACCTGAGGTCAGGAGTTCAAGATCAGCCTGGCCAATATGGTGAAATCTTGTCTCTATTAAAAATACAAAAATATTAGCCAGGCGTGATGGTGTGTGTTTGTAATCCCAGCTACTCAGGAGGCTGAGGCAGGAGAATCACTTGAACCCAGGAGGCGGAGGTTGCAGTGAGCCATGATTGTGCCACTGTACTCCAGCTGGGTGACACAGTGAGACTCCATGAAAAAAAAAAATCATCTGATCCCTGGAAGAAGTATGAAGGGCCATTTCAGATGATAACACTTTGCCATAGTGTGCCAAAATAACATGACGATGTTTCATTTGCTCATTGAACAAAATATGTTCAGTACTCATCTAGACATTCTTTTACAGAAGGAATTGAAAGTAAATGGTTACAAATTATATAATAAAATTTTGTCTATAAAAAGTAATAAGTAAAAGTAGGGAAACGAATAGAGAATATGACCAGGCAGAATACAAATATCCAGTTAATTATGTTTCACTAATAATGAAAAGATGCTCAACTCTCTAGAAATTAGAGAAATGCAAATTAAAATGACATTATCATTTTACCTATCAGATGGACCAAAATCAAAAGGGTTGACCACATCCCAGAGAAGAGAAACTGGCTCCGTTGCACACTCTGGGCAGCACTCTGCAACCTTTGTGGCACCAGGGGCCAGCTTCACGGAAGGCAGTGTTTACCTGGAATTGGGGTGGGGGTGGTTTGGGGAGGATCCAAGTGCATTGCATGTATGGTGCACTTTATTTCTGTTATTATCACATTGTAACATATAATGAAATAATTATACAACTCACCATAATGTGGAATCAGTGGGACCCCTGAGCTTGTGTTCCTGCAACTAGAAGGCCCCTCTGGGGGTGACGGGAGACGGTGACAGATCATCAGGCATCAGATTCTCATAAGAATCCCTCACATACGAAGTTCACAATAGGCTTCGAGCTCCTGTGAGAATCTAATGCCACCGCTGATTGACGGGGGTGGACCTCAGGCGGTAATGCTCGCTCACCTGCCGCCCACCTCCTCCTGTGTGGCCCCGTTCCTAACAGGCCACAGACAGACACCCACCTGTGTCCTGAGGCAGTTGGCAGGGACGCCTGCTATGGATGATTGTAGAAGTTAGAAACTTCGGGCTGCCAACTTGACAATCGTGTTAAAATGTAACAGGCATATAGGCTAACACAGACGCTATCCCACAGAAACACTTGCGAGACACAAAGATGTATATATATATATATATATATATATATATATATATATGTTGCAGAATTGTAGGTAATAGCAGAAAAGTTGGAGACAAATGTCCATCCTATTTTGGTCTATCCAAAAAGTGGAATCCAAGCAGCTATTACACAGAATGGGGAAGCTTATCTGGGCTGCCATGGAAACTCTCCAAGACAGACAGCCGTACCAGAAAGGCAAGCTGGATGACCGCCCCCGGGCGCGTTTCATCTGTTTCTTTCATATTTAATGTGGCTATATGGGGATGTGTCTTAAAATTGGTAGCACTTCACAATTATAATCAGTATCATTTTTTTTTCTTTCTTAGTGGTTCTTAAAATAATGATACTTTTTACAATCCGTGAAGCTTTAGATGAAATGAGAGGAGTAGAGTGGTCTATTTATTTCCCAAACCTGCATATTTATGAACATAAATTTATAGAAGAAAATGTCAGGAAAGATATACACTTCGAAATCTTAATTATGCTTAACTGTGGCAAAGAGAACGGGTTCCTGAACATTGAAAATCTTAGGCCGGAGTGAGCTGGGACCTGAAACCATTGTTTGCACACCTGTCCTTGAGTGAGCCACGTCTTTCCAGTGTGGACTTGTTCCGCCTCTAGGGTCCCTGTGGGAGGGAGAGCTTGCCATGAAGGTGGGAGAGGGGAAAGGGGATGGAGATAAGACAGGGGACACAGTGAGAGCAGCTGAGCCCTGGGGCAGAACTGAGGTGGTCCCTGGAAGACCCCAGCTCTTGGCGGGAGCTCGGGACCAGTTTCCTGAGCAGAGGGTATCAGGTGGTCACATTCCAGCCAAGATTCCCGTTCTCTTTGTCTGCTCCAAAGTCACATTCAAGCCTAAGGTTTTCAATTTTCAGGATCAGATTCTACATAAGCAAACATGTACACACACACAAGTTGTAAATGTACATATGTCAACATACACACACACTTGGCTTTGGGCATCAGCTAGACAGTCATTCAGGAAGAAGGCTGCTTCGGGATGACCACTCTGGGGACTGGCCACCCTGACCTTCTGCCCCACCACGTCGGAGCCATAACAACAGGAAATGAAAATAGACTGTGACTGGAATTTCTTCTCAGATGGCTCCCTAACTCCTGCATGAACCACATTGGTGCCCAGAGGACATATTTTTTTTCTTCCTGGCCCACACCATTTTAAAAAATTACATTTAAATTGAATTTCTTACCAATATTTAAAAATCAAAAAATGTTTACATAAAAATATGAATTTCTTCTTTAGGAAGATGGGAAGAGCTGGGCACTGTGGGCCCCCCTTGCGCTTGGCCCTGGTAGGCTGGAACTCAGAAGTAGCCATTCCTGCAGACAGGATGTGGAGTCTCCCTTCCTGCCCCCATCTGGCGTCCCCACACCACTAGGGAGTGTTCCCACCTGCCCCTAGAAGGCTGTGGGGTTTCTGATCCTCATCTCTGGCCTCATGAACAGAGGCAGCCAATGAGAAACTCCAGAGCCAGAGCTGGGGAAGCCACTGGCCCTGCGACCCACCCCTTCTGCCCATGTGCACACCCCCTTTGCGGGTGTGGTAGTTCAGTCCCGTCCTCTATGGAAGCACCCATGTCTGTGACTGCAGCCTTTGCCTCAGACAGGAATGTGGAGGCCAGACCCAGGGAGGGCTGGCGGGGCCCGGGTGCCCCCTCGTGTCTCTCTCTGATGAGCAGACCCCACAAGCTGGCTTGGACTGCACTAGTCATCATGTATGCAGAAGCTGAGCCCAGAGCCTGACCTCTGTGTGAGGCAGAAGTGGGAAGTTTCATTGCGTGGGGCCCAGGAGATGAGGGCAGATGCACTTGGCTACTTTTGGGAGGGAGGAGGGGGACAGATGCCCAAGCTTTCTGGCTGAGTCCCGAGAGCGAGCAGCAGCCGGGCCCTCCACGGTGCTGGGCTCTATGCTGTTCCTCCCTCTGTGTCAGAAGTTCCCCCGCAGTCTGTGCTGGGGTTGCTCCAAGGCCCTGGCAGAGTGGAGGGGGGTGCCGTCTGGAGTTGCAAGTGTGGAAACCTCAGGCCACCTCACTTCCCCAGGGAAGCTCTGCTGTGGGCAGGTTGGGGGCCAAAGGTGGGGGACTGTGGCAGCCACGCCCACTCAGCCTGGCACCAACCCAGCCTTGCGTGGGGCCAGAACTGGCTCCTCTGGGCCAGGGCCACAGACACCTGAGTGTGGGCGCTACAGAGGACAGCCAGGCTGCCAGGCTACTGACACTGCCAGACAGATGAGAGAGGCACAGATGCCACCTGGAAGGTGGGTGCTTAGTGGGTGGGCCAGTGAACAGTGCCCTCTCTCACGGCTGGGACCACCTCCTCATCACAGGCCAGCTGTGTCCTCCGTGAACGTCAACATCTAATGGTCACTCAAGTCCCTAAAACTTCTTCATTTATTAGAAGTGACTGCATGGACCACTCACAGGGTGCCAGAGTCAGTGCCAGGCCCAAGAGTTTGGAGGATGAGGGAGGACCATCCGGCCCCTGCCCTGGGGAGCTTATAACCCAGGGTGCAAGGCAGAAGGCATGAGGGTCCCTTTTGGACCCAGATGAGGGCTGTGAGGTGAGTGGAGCCTCTGGGGCTGTGGAGCCCTCCTGGTGCCCGGAGCACCCTGAGGCGGTTGTGCCAGCCCTCAGGAGGAAGTGCATGGAGCCTGCGCTGGGCTCAACGCCAGTGCTTGGTGCTTCTGGGAACTAGACTTGGAAGCCCAATCGTTGCCTTCGAGAGGATTCCACAGAAACATGGACACCAAAGCAGTCGTGCTGAGGGCCTGTTCACTCACGGCAGGGTGGGGTTTGTGCTTTGAGGTGTCCAGGGCCCCTCTGGGTCTACAGGATAGGAGTCCAGTGGGCTTTCTGGAGGTGGGGCCTTTGAGATTGTCCTCAGTGAGTGGGAACATTTTGGTGAGGAGGGGGCTGTGTGGATGGCTGGGGAGAAGCGGGGACGAAGTCCGACGTTGAGATGGTGTGTGGGGTCCGAAGGTGGCAGCCAGGCCACCAGTGCCCCTTGGGATTTGGGCTGCGAGCCAGGGGCAAGTCCTGAGCAGCAGCAAGGCCACTGCTGGCCTGGCAGGTCCTAAGCTGCAGCAAAGCTGGGCCTGGCTGTGGGTCTCTTTCCAGGCGAGGAAGGTCAGCCTGTCAGGTAGAAAGGACAGAGGAACAGGGGGTGGTGGCTGGGCACTCAGCCTCTGACAGGTGGAATGAGTACCAGGAGGCTCTGGAAGGTGGGGCCACCATGCGCCAGGGCCACAGGCCTCTGCCTAGCCCCAAGGCCAGGCTGCCTTCCTGTGCCTGAGCTCATGCCCAGGCGGCCCTAGGAGCTGAGGTGAGCTGAGTCAGGCTCCCACGCCATCCAGGGACCCACAGTGGACACTGGGGAGTGGCATCCACTCCTCCCCCAGCTTCTCAGCAGGAAAGCCAGGCAGCCAGGCCATGTGGGGGTCTGGGGAGCTCACCCCCGTCATGCCTGCCCCAGGGTCTCAGACAAGTCACTGCACCCACGCCCCAGTCCCGGATTCTTTCTCTGAGTCAACAGCAACAACCAAAGCCGCTCCTCTGTTACCTCGTGGGGCCTTTTCAGGAGGATGGATCCACTTTGCAAAGTGTAGCGTGGGGTTCTGGTGTCCAGGAGGAAGGGCTCATGGAGGGGGATGCTTTTGCAAAGTGTGAAGCGAGGTCAGGGGTTAGGGTCTTTGCACTTCCCCTGCAGGCCCTCCGGACCCAGGTGGCTCCCAGCCGCTGCTGGCCTGGCTCCTCCTGCCTCTGCTGCTGCTCCTCCTCATCCTCCTTCTCGCCGCCTACTTCTTCAGGTAGGAGTGTCCCGGGTCGCTGACTTGCCCCAACCAGCTCAGAGGAGGAAATGAGCCTTCTGATGCTGCGGGCGTGGGCTGTGCAGCAGAGAACAGCTAGGAGGCCGGGTGGCCGGGCCTGGGAGACACAGAGACCAGGCCTTAGCTCGGTTCAGCCATGAGCAACAGGAGTAGCTTTTCCAGGCTCACCTGGTGGGTATCACCGTGCTGAGGGCTATTGGCTCTTAGGGAACCTAGAAGTGTGGAAACCTAACGAGTCCTGTGTCTCTAAGGTTCAGGAAGCAGAGGAAGGCTGTGGTCAGCGCCAGCGACAAGAAGATGCCCAACGGAATCTTGGAGGAACAAGGTACAGGAGCACCTCTCTGGCTGGGGTGGAGGGAAAACGTGTTGTTCTTTAACAGACAGTGGGGTGCTTTGTCTCTTTGACATTCAGAGTAAGTTTGGAGGTGGCTCAGCTCTACCACTTTTATCTCACTTTACCTGATATGATGCTGTCATTTAGAATTTCGCCATTTCAAAACTTTAAGGATCGTTTTTCTCTCTGGTGTGACACAGACGCTTGAGACATTTTTGTTTGTGGCTTTTTTTAGAAAGACCGTTCATATCCTGTCGTTTTCACAGGGTGTTGACATGTATCACTTTTCAGTGAGGCCTTACAATCGTTCTAAGATAAGACTGGCTCATAAACTGTTCAGCTGGATTTGTACTGCTTGCAAATCAAGCTGAAAAAAGGGACTTGCTCTGCTAAGGTGTTTCATGTTTACAGAGGATCAGAGTCAGCTGGGGGCATTTCCAACTCTTCAGTCCCTAACTCTTCAGTTTCTAACTTGTTGTCACTACTTACAAAGGAACATTGTTTTTCTC